AACATGAGAAGATTGATGGATGCTCTTACTGCATAAGGGTGGAAGGACATGGTCCTTGAGATGGATGGAAGGCTGGCTAGAAATGAGTTGATAGAGATTATGGCCAATGCCACTGTGGAAAATGGGGTAGTCTCCAACATGGTGAAGGGTGTAAAAGTAGAGTTTGATGCAACCAAGTTGGGTGAGATTCTGGACATACCTAGTAAAGGGTATGATGATTATACTAGGCAGAGGTGGCTTTGTCTGGATTCTCTCCCTACTGCTCTTCAAATCACCAAAAATTTCTGTGATGCTGCTAATGCTGAAGATATACCTGAAGCCAGATTTGTTCAGAAGAGTGAGATGAGACCTATGCACAAGGTCTTATTTGAATTTGTGAATAAGTGCTTGCTGCCCAGACAGGAGAGGAGGCATACTGCCAACTATATGGACCTGGTGCTTATGGAATGCCTTGAGAGTGGAAAGCAGATAAATTGGCCTGCTTTTATTGTCAAACTACTGGACAGGGTCATTAATGGATCCAAGGCACATGCAACTCCATATGGGTTCATACTTACAACTGTGCTGGACAGGCTAAGGGTTCCTTTGAAGAAATTGGAGATGGCATCAAGCAAAGAGCATTTTGGTGTTAGGACTTTATTGGCTTGTGACTATCCTGTCAATGCCACCCAGGTTGAACCTGGTTCATCTCTGAAGACACCAGTGAATAGCAAGGTGAGGGCTTTGGTTCAAGAGTGTGGAACTAAGAATGCTGAAATTGCTAGGCTTCAGGCTCGTGTTGCTGATTTGGAAGCTGAACGAGATGGCCTTCGAGCTGAGCTAGCAAAAGAAAAGGAGAAAAGTGAAGGAATGCTTCAGAATATGCTCAACCTTCTCCAAACCCAGCCCTCTAGTTCCTCCAAGCCTTAGGTCATCCGGTTCTTGTTTTTGAACCTATCTAGAACCCCCAGTGACCCAGATTTGGGACTTTTTATGTTTTTGTTGCTCATGTTTGGAAGTTTGTCTTTCTTTTTGTGGTCTGTCTGTGAAAACATATCCTAATCAATGACAATCTGCTTTTTCTCTTTTTCTATGTAGATTTTGATCTAAATAGTTAATTTTGTTTGTTGGTTATTGATTTATTGAATCATGTTTTCACTTGCAGTTGCCCTAGTGGCCATGAGTAATTATTAACATCTGGGACTCACAATATTTGCAACTTTTCGATGATGCCAAAAGGGGGAAGAGATATTTTGCTTTACTTGTTATTCTGAATAATGTGATAGTTATAACCTGATTAAACCTGGTCCTTGATGATAAGTTAAAATTTATATGTTAAAGTGTTGAGGATTAAGCTGAGTTCTACAGGTTTTCTGATCAGTAAAAGCATAGAGTTTGTCATCATCAAAAAGGGAGAATTTGTTGGCCTAAGTTCAGGTGAAGTTTTGAGGAATGACAAATGCACTCAGTCATGGAACAGGTCCATCATGTGAGACGCAGTGTTTATCAACCTATGCATGTGAGATGCACGTGAAGGAGATAAGTCTCAAGGATAAAGCAGCAATATCTCCTGAACTCATCGAAAAGGTTGCATATTGGATGAGGAACGAAAGTATCCTCATGGGAATAGGACACAATCCGGTTAAAGGATAGGGTTGGAGTTTGTATTGTTCAAGGACTCAACTTCGATGAAAGATCAGCAATTGAGTCTCAATCAAACTCTGATTACTAACTCATTAAATAACAGTAATTGTTCTCTTTTACAGGAATTGCACAAATGCAGAAGTGAAACTAAATTGAGAGCAAAAGAGCGAGGCAATTTTGCAAGCAATTTATGTGAGATTCAAGTGTGCATTCCTGAAACTACTTGGACAAGATAGAAGAACCAATTCAATTGTGTCTTTCTTTTATTCTAGTTCAATTATAGTAGGTGTTTTAAAGTTGTACCTTTCCAGCTTTCATAGAAGCAATTGTATTAGGTACCTTGAGTATTCAAGTTAGAGTTAACTTGAAAGTGTCGCAACAGTTGAGGCTTTGTGCCACACTGGGATTAGAGCTTAATCCTTAGGTTTACAAGAGTTTTGTAAATGTTGTTTTGGCTCAGTGATTTTAGTGGAAGTTTGGGGAAATCCTACTGAGTAGTAGGTCGTGCTTTTTTTCACCTTTTGAGCCAGGTGTTTTCCACGTAAAAATCTCTGTGTTCTTTATTTTATGCACTCTTAATTCCGCAAACAGTAGTAGTAAGTACACCTAGAAGAACCAGGTTCTTCTAGAGCGAAAATTGGGTACCACACAAATCACCCCCCTCTTGTGTGGTATTGACGTTTAGAACATCAATTTTGGTTGGCTGGCATTGGTTCTTCGCATTCGTGACAGAGTGTTCGCATAGTATCATGGGCTGGTGCATCGCGTTCACGTGTATGTGATCGCGTTCGCGCTGGAGTGAAGGCAGGCAGGGGCTTTGTCCTTGCGTTCGCAGGGCAATTGTCACGTTCGCGTAGTGTATGAGCTGAGTGAGCTTTGAGATCACGAGGGTACTTCCTCAATCACGAAGGAGGATTTGGGCAAGTGGCAGACTTATGCTTCGCGAACAAGAGGCAGTGGCCGGGTTCACGAAGGATAGTGTAGGGCAGACTACTTAAGTTTTGAATTTCGGGATTTTTATCCATTTAATATTTTGAGTCTAGACTTCGAGAGCTGAAGAGGAATTTCACTATTACATTGGAGAAGTTTTTCACTTCGATTTTATTATATATCTTGATTCCCAAAGGAGATCTACACCTAAAACTTGGAATTTTAAAGAGAAATTTAGGAATTTTGTCATCAACTTAAGAGGGTATATTTTGAAATTTTAAGGGCCAATTTGAACTTGGTTTTGGAGTGTAATCATGTATCTAGAATCAAGGGATTATGGGTGAACTATATCTATGATCAATTTCAGATTTTAGCCCCAAGCTCGAGATTGAATGTTTAGATTTGAAAAGAAAGATGGTTTTTTTTTTATTGAAGCTTACCAGGTAGAGGTAAGTCTCTTATCTATCCTTGTAAGAGGGAAGTTTCCCCCATAGATGAATTATTTGCTACTTGCTACTTTATTTAGGTGCTTCGTATATGCGAGGTGACGAGTGTATATGCGCAGCTAAGATCTGGTCATAGCCAGTTAGAGTTATGCTTATCTTATGCCTTGTTGAGACTTTATAAATTGTTATCCATGTTTCCTTAATTCAATTACGTGATGAATCTTAATCATGATTAGAGACCATTCTAGAATTATGACATGTTGATTCGAACATAACAGACTTCTTTCCCAGTGTTGGGCTTTCTACTTTAGCCATATTTATGCAATTGCCTATTTGACTTATGATTAGTGATTATTGGCTATTGTTTCTCATGCTTCATATCATGATCGGACCTAAGAATATTAAATGAACATGTTGAATTGTTATGGAAAATTAAATTACATGATTAGTCGTAGCCCTCTCTTATTCATGTTAATATTCATCCGTGTTTTATTATTTTGTCCCCGTGCTTCTTTGTTATATCATCTCATATGCATATTACATGAATTGGAGAGTTGGATATTGCGGAAAGTTGAGGATTTTGGCAATAAGGATATCATGAGCGGATATTAATTATGGATTTCAATTTTATTAGTGGATCGGGTTGCACGCTGTAACAGCACTTGGATATGGATTCGTCCTCCAGATTTAGGTGATTACCCATGTTACTTTGGGCCCTATGAGCACAGGCATCTAGATTGGTGCTAGTTTGGACACGTAGCCAGTGTCAGGCATATAGATTAGTACTACGAGGTGTTGAGATTGGACCACAAGCATGCATATGAATTCTAGATTCATGCAGTAGCGCCCCTATATGCATTTTGACTGGTTTAAATCATGATATTGGAAGTAGTTGAGATACTCGATATTGTATTGTACTTCCTTTGCCTAAAAAGGATGTCTAAATACCGGACCTTATTGTGCTCTTGCCTTTGTACCTATTTTTGATGATATCATGTCTTATCTATTATTTTGTTTAATATCTTTACTTGCTTATTAAACTGCTAGAAAGTGTCAGTGTCGACCTCTCGTCATTACTTCTTCGAGGCTAAACTTGATACTTACTGAGTACCGTGATTCTGTACACACATATTATATTTTTGTATATTTTTGTGCAGCTTCTAAGGTAGGTATGAGTTGTATCCATTCAGCTACTTAGGAGCTTGCATTGGAGACTTTGTGATAAGCTGCCTATTTGTACATTTGCATCACATGGGGTCCCCTCCCTTTGTTCCATCTATTCCTTGTCTATTTACTTATTTCCGGACATATATTGTTACTAGTCGAGATCGTTCACTCTTGATTAAATGCTCGTGATGTTGTGACAACGAATTTTAGGCATTGCTAGACAGTTGTGATTGTGTTTAGGCTCTAAATTGTAATGTTTTATGAAAATTCCTCGACAACAAAAAAAAAAAAAAAACACAACAGGCGAGCACTTACACACAATGTTTTATGTACCAAGAACCAAAGCCAAAAGACTCAGATAAGGAAAAAGAAAAAAGAATTCACAAGCCTCTATGAACGAATACTTGAAAAGTGTTGTATAGTATAATTAACTTATCTTGTTGTTTTATACCAAATCAAATCAAATTAAAAAGGAAAAAGTGCCATTGTTGGAAGGAGTATATGTTTTTTAACCGAACAATATCATATAAATTGAAACAAATGAAGTACTTCCTCCGTTTTAATTTGTGTGAGCATATTTCCTTTTTAGTTTGTGCCAAAACAAAATAATATTTTTTCATAATTAAAAATAATTTACCTTTATGCAATATTTTATAACCACATACAATATATGTGTCACATTTTACACCAAAAGTTGAAAGAATTCTTTTATTTCTTAAAATCCGTATAAATTGAACCGGATAGAGTACCTTTTAAGACTTCTGTGCGGGTCCCATAATCCAATGAAACTTACTCCTATATAAGAAGCCAAATAAATGTAAGGTTTTCCACACATTGCAATATCAACTGCAACCTTCAAATTTCTTCTAGTAATAACACACAGGAGAGAAAATTTTCTTTTCTCAATTACAGCCCCACACTTGCTTCCTTTGTCGTTTCGAGTTTCTTGTGTATTCAGTTTTTCTTTAACCTCATATTTTAAATCTTCATAACTCGTGTCGTTCTGGGTACAAAGAAATTTTGACAAATCAGCTCTTTTTCTCATTTGGGTGGTGAATACCTTTTCTGGGCTTGCAGTATTTTTGTTCCTTGAGGGTGCAATGAACGCATTAGAGTCAGGTCATTTCAACGAGGAAGTAGAAGAGAATAGAGTGAAGCTAGCCATTGAGGATGCTGTAAAAGTCCTTTTGCAGGGGTTGGGTGAAGATATCAATAGGGAAGGTATCCGCAAAACTCCTTCTCGGGTCGCCAAGGCTCTTCGAGAAGCCACAAAAGGTCTCTCTTTTTGTTTTTTTGCATGCTTTGAATGGATCCTTATTTATTTAACTCCATTAAGTCTATGGAAAGTGGAGCATTAATTCACTGAAATTATTTATTTCTTGTAGTTCTAGGAACTACTGGGGACCATAATCTATACTGGCACGTAAAAGTTGCATGTTTAGTGTTTGATATTATTGTCTCATAGTATTTGGTTGCCTTAGAATAAAAGATGCCTTTTTTAGCATGAGGGTGAACCACTCCTAAGATTTTACTCTTTTGTCTTCTTTTACCTTCAAAAGTTTTTCCAAAGTTGCTACTTTTATCCTGATGATGAAGCAATCTTAAGTTCTGGGCTTATCAAGACTGCAGACGCTTGTCTAAAGTTCATTTGTGGAGTTTCTGAAATGATCAGTGCTCCGTCTCTCTGTTATTGGTCTCGTTAGGCTTATTCAGGTGAAAATTTTCACGCATTGGTACTTCAGTTAAGTGAAACTTAATGTTTTTTGTCATTAACATTTCAGTCATGTTATTTTTTTATGTGCATAGTGATGAATTAGATGAACTGAATTTTAAAGTTTCTTGCTGATCTGTTCTAGTCCACTAAACCAAATAATTATTTTCTTTGGTTGTGAAATGATTGGTTTATGGAAAATAAAGGTTATAATGCCTACTAATAACCTTCCTTTAAGAAATCCAGTATTCTCCTATTGCATCTATCAGTTAGCTTTTCTCTAGTAAGGTAACAAAGGTCCTTTAACAGAACATTTAGCAATATTTTGTAAACAACTGAGGTGGTTTTGTTTTCTCTAGTTATAACTTTAGCATGAAGCTATCCAATGCAAGCCTATGTATATGGTTGGGGAGCGGGTAACTTTCTGGAAATTCATATATAAAAATGGTGTAGCCCAAGCATATGTGAGACTTAGAAATCAACATCTTGCAAATTGAAAGAGTTATTTAGTTATACTTCCAGTCCTGCCTTATTTTGTTGGTTGATGCTTTAAATATCACTGTTTGACTATTTACTTTTCTTCTTAAAATGTTGGTTGATCGACTAGTTTCATCTTTTTGGTTGTTGTACGAAGGTTATAAACAACACGTGAACGATGTTGTTCATGGTGCTTTATTCCCTGAAGCTGGGTTGGGAGGTGGATGTGGTCAAGCTGGAGGAGCAGGTGGGCTTGTGATTGTTCGTGATCTTGATCTCTTCTCCTACTGTGAGTCTTGCCTTCTTCCATTCCAGGTTAGGTGTCAAGTTGGTTATGTCCCATCTGGCCAAAGGGTTGTAGGACTAAGCAAGCTCTCTCGTGTTGCTGATATCTTTGCGAAACGGCTCCAAGCTCCACAGCGTCTTGCTGACGAAATTTGCACTGCCTTGCAGCACGGAATCAAGCCAACAGGTGTTGCTGTGGTCTTGCAGTGTTTGCACATTCATTTTCCAAATTCTGAATCAGCCTTCCTCGACACGTCTCACCAAAGTTGGGTGAAGATGCTAGTTAGCTCTGGTTCTGGTGTTTTTAAGGATGAGAAGGCGGACATTTGGACTGATCTTTTAAGTCTTCTGAATTTCAGAGGTATAAGCAAAGAAAACACCAATCCTGGTGTGTTTGACCAATCATGGTGCCCATCTCAGTGTTGCAACAAGTTGGAACAATCAAATTCAGCTATGACCAATGCAGTGGTTTCAATACTAAAGTCTTTGGGGGAAGACCCGTCGAGGAAAGAGCTTGTTGGTACTCCATATCGTTTCTTGAAGTGGTTGATGAACTTTAGAAACTCTAATATGGAGAATGGCTTTCTTCAAAGTAGAATTAATAGTCCAAGTCCCAAGGACTTTATCTGTTCTGAGCTCAATTTACCATTCTGGTCCCAATGTGAACATCATTTACTTCCTTTTCAAGGTGTTGTGCATATAGGTTATTTCTCTTCAAATGGACTTAATTCCGTTGGAAGAAGCAAATTGCAGTCAATTGTACATTTTTATGGCTTCAAACTCCAAGTACAGGAGAGGCTTACCAGGCAGATAGCCGAGACCACTTCATCCCTTTTAGGGGAAGATATAATAGTAGTGGTAGAAGCAAGTCACACATGCATGATATCTAGAGGAATTGAGAAGTTTGGAAGCAGTACAGCTACAATTGCTGTTTTGGGTCGATTTTCCACTGACCCTGCGACAAGGGCAAAGTTTTTAAAGAGCCTTCCAAGCTTTTCTTCTGCATGAAAATGATGTCTTATTCTGCACAAGGAAATATATAGGCTGCACCAAGCAAATCAGAGAATGTCAGTATAAAATCATGAGCAGCAAATATTTTTATTCATTTTTCGTACGTGTATTTGTAACATAAAACAAGGGCTCACAGCAACCTTTATGCTTGCCCTTGATTTGCAGTGTGTCATACTTGGCACCTTGGCGCTGTGTGCGCGCGCGCGTGTGTGAGTTTGTTGTTAGATTAATAGAAGGAAATAATTATTGTTTTTTTACGGAGATGAGTTTTCACATAACGATATATCAATAGATTATAATTGTATTCATTTGTTGCTATAGAATATAGTGATTTAGGGAAAAGCTTATCCATGACTTTTTTTGATGTGCCGACGGAAAAAATTTGAACCAAGAAAATTAAAAATAGTTGGTTTGGTTTCCTTTTCTATAAAATCTAGGGAAAATACATAACTTGTACTCCATAATTGTCCGAAAAAGCCAGTTAAACACTTAGCTGAATATTATCCCCTATCCTTATATGAAGTAGAACACGCCCTAGTGAGAAGAAAAGATAAGTGAAAGAAAATGATTAAATATTATTAATAGTACTTTCTTTTCATGTTATAGATATATTTTTTTTTTATTTCAACAAATGAGTATCTTTTTCATGATATAAAAAAAATATTTTTCCATTTTAACAAAAAAGTACTTTCTTTTCATGATTTAGAAAATGTATTTTGTTTCATTTCAACAAAATGAGTATTTTCTTTTCATGGTGTAGAAAAAATATTTTCTTTCATTTCAACAAAATGAGTATTTTTATTTCATGATGTAGAAAAAGTATTTTCTTTTACTTTAATAAATGAGTACTTTATTTTCATGTTGTAGAAATAGTACTTGTTCTTTTATTTCAATAAAATGGGTACTTTATTTTTGTAATAAAGCAATAAAGAAGAATATTGCAAAGAAAGAGAGAGAGAGAAATCTTATTGCTTTGAGATGAATTATAATGAATAAGACCCTCTATTTATAGGGAAAGAGTGACTTAGTCACCTAGTAAAATTCTTAAAATCTCTCTAAAATATAGACATTCACGTTAAATACAATTCTATTTATAACAATTTTCATGTTGTACAAATAGTACGTTTTCTTTTATTTTAGGCTGAATACATATGTAGCCCCTTAAACTTGTTCATTTTTTTCATTCGGACACCTAAACTAAGGGTTGTTCCAATTGGACCCCTGAACTCAAAGCAATGTGCCCTATTAAACATCTAACTACAATGTGCCCTAAAATAATCTCTCTTTTGCAATGTTTTTTTTCCAGAATCTCCCCATCTTTTCCATTCTTGGTTGTCGTCGCCCCCCATTCCTGGTCTTCTTCTTCCCCATATTTCGGGTCTTCGTTGAATTTATGGCTTTCTCTTGATGAGGAATGATTCTCAGGTGTTATGCGATTTAGTCATCTAAGTTCTTTCTCCTTCATGTAATCTTTGCCATGGTCAAACCTCCATGAAAGGTGGGGGTGCTGTAATTTCTGTGTATTGCTTTAGTTAAAGCCTTCTTTGCAAGTTTTGCTTACAAAGGATGCAAAGAGAAGGCATATATATGTATATATATAGAAAAAATCTTAGCGATCCGTTAAAAACCTAATTCCGGCAACGGCAAGCCAAAGATAAAAGAGCAAACATATGATCATTAGGTGGTTTTTTAGTCACTAGAATCCATAGGGACAACTAATTTCCACAATCAGATATATCCTTAATTGAGAATTCCACATGTGATTATAGTTTCTCACGTTTTCCAGAAACTTACCTTGCCGTCCGACGAGATGAAGCATCTCGAAGCTCATACTTTTTTTTCAGAATTAAAGTATGTATTTTGGGTAGTTTTTATTTCTGTTAAATCCATATTAGCTGGATTTTAACGTGTTCACGCGCCCAAAGTAAATGAATCTCACTGTTTGTGCCATGTCAGCTTTTTCTGTTTAATAGGACACATTGCTTGGAGTTGAGGGTTTCAATAAGAACAACCCTTAGTTTAGGTGTCTGAATGAAAAAAATGGACAAGTTTAAGGGGCTACATATGTATTCGGCCTTTATTTTAATAAAATGAGTATTTTATTTTCATGTTGTAAAAATAGTACTTTTATTTTCAAACAAAAAAAGAGTACTTTCTTTTTAGTTATGGAGCACAAATTTCAACGTTATTTTTGCATAAAAAAGTAAAGCAGCACATTAGTTCCTTTGGGTTTATGTGAATTTTTAGAAGAATAATTAAATTCTTAAAGAAAATAGAGTCCTCAAAACGTTGGGTATTGGGAAGGGGGGGGGAGGAGAGAGGTGAGAAGATAGCATAAAAAAAATATTTTCCAAAAATAAATTTTTCATTCACCAACCAAACAAGAAAAAATAAGTGATAAAATCACTCATTTCCCATGAAAATATTTTCTATAAAAATATTTTCCATGAAAACATGTTCCTTCGTACCAATCACACCCTTAATTTGTAGTTGTGACATATTTTGAAGAGTGAAGATGAAGGGAGGCACGGTAGAGAGGTGATCCTTCCCCGCAAGATAGAGGAATAATGCTAAATTAAACAATCATCTAAAGTGATATTAATCTTTGTAAATAGCTATGCAATCTGTAAGTCTGTTTTATCTCTATTGATGCTTTAGTTTAATTTGGTATAATTTCAATTCATCCTATTTGATCATTTCATCCTCTTTAGTGGTCACCAGAATCGTATACTAGTGTTGGAGTGCGTTCAGATTCAGAGATTTAGATGGTTAAACAAGGGATTAGTGTATAATCAGTAATAAAAGGAAAAGACTGTGATTGAAAACCAAAACCAAAAAAAAAAAAAAAAAAGGAGTGAAAATTTGAAAATTTTCTGGACAACCATATGGTATAACTTAATAATTTTCCCATGTAGGAGTGATTAGGGGTGTCAATGGATATTTGAAAACTGGCTAAATAGATCGAACCGTACCGTACCGAATCGATTTTTAGGTTTCTTTTAAAGAAACTGTAGGTTTTTATATAAATTTATAGTCGTACCGATAATTAGGGTAGGTTTTTTATTTTATAAAAATAAACCGAAAAAATATCGAACCGTACCGAATAAATTTTATATGTGGAAAAGATATTAATTATATAGTAAGTTTAAAACTAATAAAGCATTAATTTTTCATTGGGTCTTGGAATTATGAAAATTGTTATAAGACAACAAATTAAACTCAAAGTAGTAATTCCTAAAATCTATTATGCTACTTATACTTAAACTAAGTTATTTCAAGTATCTTTATTAGCAAGACACAAAGTGTTCTAGCTTTTACTTGGTTTCTTTTACGTTGTTGTCGAATAGTTGATGGATCTATACTCTAGCCATCTTTCATATTTTTTTTTATTCATCACCTTTAAACAGTAAAAATGTCTAGAGAGTTTTGCTAAGTCCTATAAAAGAACATGTGTTATTAAATTCTACTTCTATTGGTGAATTTTACATGATATTTAAAAAAAAATCCAAAATTAACCGAACCGTACCGATACCGAAGTGAAACCGACATGATTGGGACGGTTTCGAAAAGTCCAATTTTTGTTATACAAAATAGAATAACCGAAAATTTGGTATGATACAAATTTTATAAAATAACCGTCCGAACCGAACCATTGACACCCCTGGGAGTAACAATACATATTTAAAAGTCGACTAATAAAACGAACGATGATTAGTTTCTTTCAATAAATTCGTATGTCTTATATGGACATATAACCACACAAATATTTATGAAAAGTTTTCTGTTTTATGAAAATAAACTGAAAAAATAGCAAGTTGTACAAAATAATTTATATATAAAAATCTATTTATATATCAAATTAAGCAATAAAATTTTTTTCTTAGGCCTTGTGATCGTGAAAATGGCTGCAAATTAACAAGTGTCGCGCCCCGTTTTCTCGAGAAAGCGAGTTTCGACATGTGACAGCTCTATTACGGGTATTAAAAGAGAAGAGTCGCCATATAACGATTTTAAAGTGCATTAGGGCACATATTTGCAAATAACTCTATTTTAACTAGTCAGTATCACCAAAGATCGGGTAAGGGCTCATATTACGTCGAAGAGAAGGTGTTAGACACTCTTCGAGGTCCACAACTGTAGATCCTGGCCAAAATTCACGCTATGTGGGATTATCAGATTATAATTATCCTAAGTGATCATATAAGTGATGGATGACAAGGAATTTAAAGGTTCTACTAAAATATAAACGAGTGTAAAGAAGATCATACAAGAATTGAACTATATAAATAATTAATACAAGTCTTTGGAGGTTATAGGATACAACTTCACTATTCTAAGTTCAAGAAACGAAGTGGAAACAATAAACATATAAAGGAGGGGGTCCTAAGTTTGTTAGCCTGAAGGATCACCTTGTGCAACATAAATATTACTTCGCAACTCCCCTAGGGTAGAGGTTGCTCATATTATTCAGCGGGCATATACTATCATCTCCTGCTACCCAATTACTAAAGTTATTTACCTGAAGCGTTCTAATTCAATTCTAAACCATGTCTTATGCATGCTCTACCCGTCTCATGCCTATGGTCCAGAAGGTTTTGGACCAACTATTTGGGTGGTTCTAGACTTCACTTAGGATGCTCAAAATGATAAAAACTAGGCGCACATTCAAAACATATAGGACTTCACATAAAGACATTAAATGCTCATGTTAGCCTCCACACATAAACAACAAATGCACGTGGGCAGATTAGGCAGCATACAGTTTCAGAGTTAAGACGCATTAGAGTCGTTAAGTCCTATAAGCATGGTTTCTATGATCCTAATTTCTAGTATTATACCGGCAGTACTACAGCTTCAGACTAATGAATTTGCAGATTATAGGTATTGAAAACCCTATAGGTATTATCTCTGATTATTTGCGCAATGAGGTAGTGAAGCAGTTCGAGAATTCAGAATTATCAGCGCTGATTTTATAGACAGGATTTCTAGGCGAGTGAGAGTATCCTATAGGCGGGATTTCCAACAGTTGACATTTGAACTTGCTTTTATAATACTTTACCCCTATAGGCATGTCATCTGGATGGGGCAGTGTAATGAAAGTAATAGAAACGGTTGATTAATTAGTTAAAACCCTATAGTAATGGTGTCTAGATGAGCATTAACAAAGGTATGTATTACTACACCCTATAGGCATGTTGTCTGATAATTAAACAAGTAGTTATAGGCGTTGATTTCTATAGATATGATGTCTAATAGCGCACAATAGTAGACGTGGAAACGGGTACAGTATCTACTTAAACTAACATGC